CGACAGCATATTTTAACCCAGTTTCCTAGAGTTTCAAAATACGTTTTAAGAACATTAAACCCGAACTCTGCCAAACCCGGGTTTCAGGAAACCGGGTATCATAGCGAGTTTTATAATTTTCTTAAGTTTTGCACTCAGGTGATGAATAGAGTCTAAAGTTCATGATTTGCGGTAAAAAAAATATTCCTCTCAGCATTATCATGGAATTTAGGCGTTTCTGAAATCAAGGAAAACCTATCGAAGCATGATACTAATGCAAAAAAGTTGTTTATAAAATGATTATCTATTTACTGTATCTCCAATTTGTAAAACTTGTACTTAATATGGAGTACAATACATGTACAGAATGAACTTTAAGAAATGCATTATTCGTTTTCCCCAGGTGGTTTAGGGTGTCCCACGGAAGATGACAGTAGCAAGACGAATTAAAGGTTTTCTTTAATCTCAAAACTAATTTGCGCCAATTGTTCGTTAACCTAATGTTAGAACTAAAATTTTCAAGTTAATAGTCACAAAATTGTCAAAAAAATGTTCAATAATCATACAAATGAAAGTAGGTTGACGACTTTATGTCACAAAAAATTTCAAATAAAGAAATAAAGACAGTTCAATCTTCTAGTGTCATATATCGAGAAGTAATTAAGTGTTAAACTCGAATGATTTCCTTTGTTGTCCGGTTGTAAAAATCCGCAAGTCGCTTTTTCTAAGAAACTACAATTAACATTATCAGATTTTTAGCTGTGACAACTTGGATATATCAAGGATATCATTGTAAATTAACATTATCAGATTTTTAGCCAACTTGGATATATCAAGGATATCATTGTTAATTAACATTATCAGATTTTTAGCTGTGACAACTTGGATATATCAAGGATATCATTGTTAATTGAACGTTCATGTCCCTGATAAATGGATGGTCATTTATTTCAAATATTTTCTAAAGTCCCGTTAGATAGTCTATTTTTTCTATCTATTCTCTTTATCACTAATATGACGTCTGACTCTGCTATGGTGCTTATCATTCATTGTTTGTTGTCTTTATAGATTTTGAAAAGAATTCATTCATTGATAAAACTGTTCACATGGAAAAGCATATTTGTAAATAGAATTATCTTTTATCTTATTTGGTGTTTTTATGATTGTAAACATTAGATCTGTTTAAACAAGTTCTTGAACTAGGGCTGCTTAAAATAGAAATAAAGATTAAATTCAGTCCAACATTTTATTTCTTATTTTAACAGTTATTAAAACAATTAAATAATTTACTATAAATTAAAATCATTAAAATAATTAGGAGGAATTTTTATGTTAATTGCTGTTAAAACTGTGTACATGTAATGCAATATTGACTAAGAAATATGGAATTAAAACAAAGACAATTTCAAAGTCGTCACTAAATTTCCATTTTATTACAGCACCCTTTAAAGTAATAACGTTTAATTATGACTATGGAATGCGGATCTCAAGATGTTTAGAGTTTAAACTTCAAACATTGAACTCTAGAATTGTTATGCATTTCACAATGTAACAAAACGAAAAAAAGGTTTTTTTTGCCATGAGATTATATTGTAAAACTATATGGCCTAAACCTTAATTTTTCCTCTTACTACATTCATAAAGTTAGTTTTCACTTTTCAGTGGACAGCAGGTTATTTCAATTTTACGAGACAATCTTATGTCATTAAATCAAACAAAATCCACGTCAATGTAGTAGTTATAAAGAGTAGATACACGTTAATTGAAATGAAAAATCCGTTAAGGGCTTTTTAAGAAATTCACTTTTTCTTCGATATCCAAAAATGGATGAGAATAGGAAGATATGGATGAAACGGATGAAAAGGATGAAAAAGGATTAAGAGGATGAGTACGGAAAGAGATCTCAAATCGCGTTTCCGTTTGGTTGCACGAATATTGAGAGCATAAGCAGGGCTAGGAATGTTCCAACTTTTTCTAGTAGTTATGTTAACGGTCGTTCCAACAGTTAAAAAACTAAATTTCAGTAGCCGTTAATTTTAAAGGTAAGAACGGAATGTTTGTTTCGTTAAAGGCATTTGCCATTTTTTTCAAAATTACCGTTAGTTAACAATCCCAATTTGATTAATGACGTTAGCGGAAAATTTTCAACAATCATTAACGGCTCCAGTCGTTAACGGTCTATTACATTATTAACGGTGCAAAGCGCGGAAAAAAATCGTTACCGGTTATAAAATCGTTTATCTTGCAGTCGTTAACGGGCTTTTGTAGTATTAACGACGTTAACGGTTTGTCAAGCCGATAACGGCACTAACAGTTGAAATATATTTATCCTTTTCTATATATATCCAAATTAACTATCTATATCCTAATCTGAGGAGAATCCAGATTCATTCACGACTCTAGTTTTCTTTTTATCAAAATTCAAATGTTATCTCTATTCTCAGCATTTAAGTTTGTAAACACAGACGACATTCAAACATCAAAACACAAAAACAAATTTAGTCAGTTCCGTATACGCCATAAAAAAAATTCATCAAAAACGGCTTATAATTTTCGTTAACGGTTTAAAAATTAACAGTTTTTGCCGTTCGTTAAGGAACTCGTCCGTTAATTTTCGAAACTAGGGCTAGGCAAAGTTTCGTTAACGGAACTTTGCCCAGCCCTAGTATTGATATTAAACCCCATGAATTCTGTTACTAACAGCACCCTGTTTCCTGCTATAATGTTGTGATCGCTATCTATTTCACTTCTATACTAATCGGTTTAAAAAAGATAATCCTATTCTCCTTGCAAGCTATGCGTGTACTTCAAATCCTGGATATAAGATACACGGGGACATAAGATTGTCGTTCATAGAGCGGAACAAAAATAGGGGCTGTCCCAAAATATTTGGCATTTTAATTTATTCTCTTTGAATTGTGGCGTGGAATCCAATTTTAAAAGTATTAGTTTTGCGCGCACATAATTAAAAAATTCTTTTTCATCTTTTTTATTTTTCATTGGGAAATTTAGTTTTAGTATAATGAAGTATTTTTAATTTGTCTAGATCCATTTGACACTGCATGGACAATTCCAATCTTTTCCCCCCTTGAAAATGATTGTCTTGTAAGGCAGTGTCTTTGGAAGGATAATGTGCAAAGGTACAAGTATTGTCTGGCTTCAACAAAGTAAGATAATCTGTTTTCCACGTGATATATACAACTTTCAAACATACAATTAAAGTACAAATATGAAAAGTTGGAACCTTTTTTCCTGAAGTACCAAACCAACTCCTTGAGTCCCTTTCTACAAGAAAAGCCGATTTTGTAGTAAGCTAAATTTATCAAATAAAAAACGGATTTTTTTTTCGGATATATTGGTTGATATTTAAATAAAGGTGATCCCTAAGTTACATTTTTTGACATTTTCTTTAATCTTTAAGATCGGATTTAGGTTACATTGCAAAAAAAACAAACAATGAATCTCGTTAAAAGTGCAAAACTATCAGATATCAATAGATTTTTACTAGACAAATTATGGTTGTTTTATAATACAAGGGAGCATTTACAAAATACAGTAAGAACCAAAATACTCTGAAATTAGAAGACGACTTTTAGAATAAAGTTATTGGTTTAAATATCCCAATAAACATGTGACACAGTAATTGTAAAGTTTTAATAAACCCATGTATTCGTCTTCTTTTGTAAAATTGCAAAGAATCAAAGCCCGTGAATAATATTTAAAAATTCTGTTAAAGAATGAAACCGAGAGCACAATAGAAAATGCATGAAATAAAGCGTCCTTGGTCCAAAAAATTTGGACAGTGTTGAAAACTTTTGCTATCCTAAAAACTTGATAATAAACGTTTAAAATTGATTTGATCAATTTTTGAAAGAAAAAATTGCAAGGATTCTGTTTGCGGTTGGTTATTTTTTTCTGTCCCATACATTTTGTTAGCAGATACATTTTGTGAGGATGTAGATACATTTTGTAAATACCTTAGGATTTTTTTCCAAATCAGACAAAAACCAAAATTACTTGAAAAAAACGCCCTTATTGTTTATAACTAGGTACATGATAATGCATAATAATATAAGAAATGATAGCTTTATGCATGATCATTTATTGCTGAAAAAATCAAATTGGCAACTTTTTCTTTTTGTTTGAATTGGAGATTGTGCAATTTTTATGTTTACTTATATCGTGAACAAGAGGTCAATGTTTTACAACCTTTCCGGGACCAAGATTACTGAATGGCAACAAGTATTTGAAGTATATTGACTAATTTGAACCACTTAAACTTGAACCAGCGCACAAAATAAGTGGTTCAAATTATTCTACGCAGTTTAGCTACTTATCGCCATTAATTAAATTTGATCCTTGTGGAATATGTTACTTTAAAATAAAGACAACTTTAACTCTAATTTTATAAAGATGTTCTAAATTCTTGAAAATCTAATTTTATTGCAAGACAAGTGTCTTGTATACTCGAAATATTGAATATTTAAAGACAGAATGGGGAAGAGGCTGCGTGTGGTGATACGCAGCGTATTATGCGTAAATAGAAATAGGATGCGTATTTTCTGACGCATATTGGGCGTGTCAACCTGTGGGTAGACTATATAATCCTGCAGTACAAACTACCTTGACATTTAAAGGTTGGATGTATATATAGTTAATTCAACCCCGTATTAAATTTTAAGCGTCTACATTTTCATAAGAAAACAAAGGATGAATGGTTTTTTCGTAATATTAACAATTCAGATCTTCTTAAACAGTCTTTATACAGAGAGTTCTTAAATCATGTGAAAAATAACGACGAAGTCAAAAACATGAACACAATAGTGTACAGTGTTCACAGACCCATTTGTACTTTTATTCATTTTGTATTTTAGGTTTTTAATTTAAATTATTTATAGTATTTTGTACTTAAGATTTATAAAGCTTAAACTCAAAATTGTTAAGAATGTGTTGTGAGTCATGTTACTATGTTTAAAGGTTGTACGTGGTTGTACGTGTACCCAAGAAAAATAAAAAACATGTTACGATCTGTTTTATCTCTATTTATGATAATTAAATAAATAATTACATATATACTTAATAATCAGCTTAGGCGTGGTAAGCAGGGGCGGGAGCGTAAGCAGGGGCGGGGGCATAGGCGGGCTTAGCGGGGGCATAAGGCTTGGCCTCAGGGTAGACAGGAACTCCCTCATAGGTGACATCAGCGACATATCCGTTGTAGTGGTCAGCGGTGTACTTGACGTGCTGGGTCCTGCCATCAGGAAGAGCAACAGTGTATTCTCCGGTCACAGCTCCGTTGGCATCAGAGGTCTCAGCGGCGTTGAAGGCAGCCTTGGAGTAATCATCAGCAACTCCGTAGGTGAAAGAGTAGGGTTCAGGGGTCTCCTTCTCTTCGTGGTAAGCAGCAGGGGCGTGATAAGGAGCAGGGGCTGGGGCATGGTAGGGAGCAGGGGCAGGGGCGTGGTAGGGAGCGGGGGCAGGTGCGTAAGCAGGAGCAGCATGGACAACAGGAGCTGCGTGGTAGGGAGCGGCATGGTGGACAGGGGCTGCATGGTAGGGAGCAGCATGGTGGATAGGGGCGGCGTGGTAGGGAGCAGTGGCGGGAGCAGTGTGGACGGCGGCTCCAGCAAATCTTGGGGCTCCATGATATCCTCCAGCAGCTACGACGGGAACAGCTCCATTGTTAAGTACAGCTCCGTCAGCGGGGGAGATCTCAGAAAGTCCCTTGCTGTTGTCAGCCTGGCTGACAGAGGCAAGGTTGGAACCAAAAGCCTTGCTGACCTGAACAGTCCTGACCTCTCCGTCAGCCTTGGTAACAGACTGGTGGCTAGTCTGACCGGCTTGTCTGTAGCCGGGATTGACTCCAGCATACAGCTGGGGAGCTGCGGAGGCAGCGCAGAGGAGGGCGGAGAGACACACAAAAGCCTAAAAATTATCAAATGTTAATAAAAATTAAAAGTAACAAGTTTAGAAGAAAGGGCAGATTTTTTTATATTTAAATTTACCCTCTTAAAATACATATCTTGATTTAAGTTCTGTAAGTGTTTTTTCAGAATGAGATATTAAAAGAACCACAAAACATGCTACCACAAAATAAATGTTCGACAGATTGTAATTTGCCTTTCTTAACCACAAGTTTAGACCCTTTTCCGTAAGCATGTTCAACAAGAAAAACGTTGATTGCATTCCCATTTTTGTAAAAAATGTACTTTTTATAAACAGTCTTTAAATGTCAAAAAAACTGTGCACATGAAAATGCTCTGAAGAAAAGATGTAAGAAAAATAAAAGCAGAAATGATTAAATCAGGTGCTGCATATGCTTCATGCAAATTTGAAAAAAAGTAGAGTTATCTTTTTTGGGTGTTTTTTCTGTAGTAGTTGCTTACCTTCATATTAAGTCTTGAATGATCAACTGATGAATGTTTTACACAGGCCTGCGTATTTATACTGACGGCGCTTACGCAAAGGATACAGGCAGTAGACGCCTTCGACGCGCCCATTTTAAGGCAGCACAGGCAGTTGGGCAAATCAATAGGTCAAATTTAGGAAGCCGGGTTTCTTCCTGGCTATCTATTTATCAATCAGCCTTCTAATGTACAATGAACAAACATTGTTTATATTTTTTTGATTTTATTAAAAAAGATTCAGAAAAAGTTTCATAAAATTGATTTATTTTAATGATTATAGACTTTTTCCATATAAAAAATAAGTTATTAAGTTTGCAATAAAATCTAAAACAACAGAAAAAGTTTAGGGCCTTAAAGTTGTAATAAGTTCCAAACGAATTAAAGTGAATACAAATTTTGATATGCAGACATGCAGTAAACACCTACTCCATAACAAGGTTTTGAAATGTATCTATCCAGGTACAGTCCGTCCGCTATCAAACTCAACCATAACTGAATCCCAGGATCTAAATGCCACACAGGGACACAATCGTAGCTATCAGAATCTCACTAATAATACAATGTTCAACCAGGACTGTTGTAGACCTCCTCTGGAACCTGATGACAGACCTCTCTTAAATTTCTGTAGCATCCCGGCAGGATTCCTTATGTACAGGGCTGCATACAAGAACATTGACAGACTTGCATTTTTGTCCAGATACATAGTTAGTATACCCTCTAAGAATCTCACGCCACTCTCCTCTAGGCTTATCTTGGGAATATTCTGGTATACTGGAGTAGATTCATCCCAACCTTTTCTTTGGGAACCTGTTTATGGGTCCGTTTATGTTCATCCCATACATTTCTTTTTGATACCTCCTTGCACTGCACAGAGATCACTTCATCACCATGGATACCATTGCAGACAAGCTTGTTTACCAGGTTATATTCTTTAACCTTCTCTTGTTCAGGAACCTTTCCATATTGCTGGACATTTTCAACCTTGTACCGATTGGTCTCGATGTTGCACTCCTTCTTATGAGTGATCTGCTTCATGTACTTCTGCATGCTATTTTACTCCGTCTTGGGGTTCTCATAGCACTGGTTCTTTAACCAATATAGTTTCAGTAGAAGTAAATATTTCCATTTATTGATAGCACCGATGTAAGGATTTATCTCTTTTTGGATAATGAGCTAGATAGAAAGATAAATTTTACCGTCATGCAATGTCTATTGGTTCAGAATAGACATCAAGCACATGGGTGAACCCTGATTTGATCAGGCGCTAATGGACTCTGCATACTAGAGTGATAATACCACCTAACACAATTTGGGATTCATGGTTTCCAACTGGTTCTCTTGTATCATACCACAATCTTGTTCTTGTGTCTTAGAATGCTTGTTCTTGTTAAAGTTGGTGTTACACTGCCGTCTGCATAGAGTCTGGCACTTATTTCCATACTCAGTTTGGCACTTCTTCTTGGGAACATCTTGGCACTTTTGTTCTGGAATGAGGGAGGTTTTGAGCACTTGAACAGTGTTGCACTCTTGTATATCCTGATTATGGCACTCCTGTTCTTGCCGTATACTATCATTCTGTACCTCTTCTTGCTTTACATCATCTTTATGTCTACTTCTTGACTCCCGACATTGCTTTTTCAGGTGTCCTCTCTTTCTTACTCTCTCTTAAGATTTATGTCTGGCTCTAGGTCTATACTTGATACTGGATCCTTGCTGACTGACTGGTCTGTCCTCACTGCATTCCGTGGTTCAGCTAAACCACTGTGCTGCTCTTCTTCTGTCTCAGCTATCTTGTTAATCTTTTTATTCTTTCTGCTTTCATATTTGTTTTGTTTAGACAGAATAGGATCTTTTTCTCCACTGTTTTCACTGTCCTGGACTTGTAGACTGTGGCTGCTTTCCTTCTAGTCTAGGGGATTCTCTAAACTCAAAACTTGACAGCAAAACCTGGATAAAAATAACAGTCTCAATGCTTCTAGTTATATGTTTTCTGTGTGACTGATGATCTTGGTTTGATTTTTGGTTGGGACTGTCCTTTATTAATGCTTCATCTTTCTTGCTTGCTGGTAGGGTTGTTAATGGTTAAACGATCGTTAAACAATCGTTTTTTATTTAGTTTATCAATCTTTTTCAAAAACGATTGTTTTGTTTTCGGAAAAAAACGATTGTTTTTAAAAACGACCCCTCATTTTGAATTTTAGAAAACGAATAACGATCGTTTTTAAAAACGATCGTTTTTATAAAAAACGATTTGTGACCGTTTTTTATGCGATTGTTTAAAAAAAAAACCATTGCTTTTGAAAGACCAATAGTTTTTGAAAAAATAATTTTAATGACAATTATGTTCACGATCGTTAACGAAGGGTCATATATTCATAAAATACCAAATTATGAAATGAATAAGATGTTTAGTTTAGATACATTATGCCGCGCGCCGTACATATCATCATGCTATTGCTAATAAGGTTATAAACGTCAAACGACAGAACCAATCAGAATTTAATTGAAAATATTTGTAAATCTGACGATGAAAACAAAAATCTGCAAACTTGTACATTCTTTACATTTCAAAATGTAGAAAAGGCTGGTTGGAAGTTCAAAAACAAAGTGCTATTAAAGATTATTACAGAATAATGGGCGCAAAGCGCTCCAAAATTTTAGACATACATTCATATTCTTCAGTTAATATATATTTGTATTCCTAGTGAGTATAGTAATTTATACACATTCATAATGACAGTGGATTAAGTCAAAGGGATGGAAGCTTCATTACAATGTATTACGTTCATACAGTAATCAGAATACTGGTAAACAAGGAAATTTGGAAGAAATGATGAGAATTCTGAGTGAAATGAAGAAAATGTCCGATAAAATATGGGTAAAATCAGGAAAACAGGTAAATCTTGATTAAAAACTAGTCATTCATAGCTGAAAACTCTTTTATTGGATACTCTAAATCCCGATTGCTAAATCTCGATATCCACTACGAACACTTTTGATAATCATCTTTTTTATCCCTCCTGGGTTCCAAGCAATGACTGTTTGCAAAATTTCTCGGTTTCTGATTGGTTGTATTTATCTGCAGATTAGAGAAAAGAGTAGATCAAAATCATTGATCTCCATATCCACAATTCTAAAGTTTTCAGCTCAGGACAAAAAGAGGAAAACCCAATAAAACTAAATGTATTTAATTATTTGACAAGGAGAACTTTTCAACAACAAAAATTGGTATTTCAATATATAAAGAAGTTAAGATATGAATTCAATGATTAAATTATGAAAAATTCGAGTCAAAATAAAAAAGTGAGTTACCGACAAAATTATAAGTAAACAAAGATTGAAAATTAAAATCTTGTTTATATGAGTACATATACATACATAGAAATTCAGACCAAGAAGACTTTCCAAAAAAAATATGGCTATTTTAAGATAAATATATATATATTTTAAGATATATATATATATATATATACATTATAGATATATATATATGAGCCCCCCCGCCCCTTTACATTATGATCTATTTTATCCTAATTCAACGATATTAATTGGTTTCTTAGTTTCATTATATTTTATCTTTGGTGGCTGGTGTTTACCTAGAATATCTAATTTTAAGTAAGAATATTTATATAAAACATCTTTACTCCATTTCTTTATCCACAGGCGTCTTCTCAATATCCATTTTGAAGTAAATTCCTTTAAAGGGAGTGTTTGCAGAAAATGAAAAAAGCTTACGACGAAAAATAAGCGCTTTTGATCGCTACTAATCTTACTTCTATCGGTAAATAATCATTTAATTCCAAACAATACATTCAGATATCACAGACAATAGTCATTGATTATCTTTCGACTCTTTCGTATATGGTTAGAATTTCATGTTTCATGTTTTTGTTTTTTTAAATAATATTTCGCTGGCACTGGATTTTCGAACATTCCTTGGAAAATATGAAAATGTCGTCTTCATTATCAAAAATCCTCGAAATAGGAAAAAATGTTTTCAAAGGTAACTAACTATCAGATCATAAAAATAAAAAATATTATGAAATATCAGCTATTTACGAATAAGTCGAAAAAATATCGATTATTATTGGTTGTAATATCTGAATGATTTGTTTGGAATTAAATAATTTTTTTACGAACCCAGTTGAATGTTGCAATTTTCTGAATTTGTATGGACGCTACGTTCAGCATGAGTCGTTTTTAACAATTTTATCCTTGTAGACACAGCAGATAGAAGTAAGATTAGTAGCGATCAAAAGCGCTTATTTTTCGCGAACACTCCCTTATTTTCCAAAGGTTCCAGCCGTAGCGCTCTCTGCCCTTGTGTCTTATCCCAAAAAATGCTTTTTGGAACTTTGATCTTTTCTGTTTCTCTATCTTGATCTCCGTATATTTTCAGTGTCCCCCTTTTCGCCTTTCCTTCCTCTTCCCCCTCCCCCTAAGCGCACCCCCCCCCTCATGTTCCTTCCCCTGGTCCCAGTAGAATAGAGTTCTCTTATAACTTGTTTTTATTCATTACTCAGCTTACATACCATTATTGATTTTATATCTGAACCTTCTACATAATCTAACTTAGAAGATACGATCTTCTTTTTTCTCTTTTATCTTTCCCACCAGTAAAAAATTTAGACAAAAACTCATGCATACTTGCTTTATAAGTAGAAATTATTTTTTTCCTCTCCTCTTTTCTCTTATTTTTTGCGTTTACTCTTAATAAAGTTATGCAACGTGTTTATAATGCATCACTCTACTTTTTCATTAATCTTTCTATTTAATCTTTGAAAATCCGGAATATGTTATGTCTAAACAAATTTAAATCATTATTTTCTGGGACTGCATCTTCAATTTTTTGAATATATATATATATATAACCATAATCCTTAATCAGTCAGACGTTTAAAGAGTATTGTTGTGAATCTGACACGACACTTTAAATTATGCCAATACAGTCCGAAATAACAATTAAAAAGATTTCGTATAAATTAGAATTTTAAATTTTACGAGACTAGTTTATATAATAATCATTTCATCAGAAATAAATAATCAGAATATGCATATATATGCCTTCGAGTTCTTATGTTTAAATCCTTTGTCTTTTGGGCGCCAAT